GTAACGGCGATCACAATTTAGGTAGATGTCCACACTTTCTTGCACTCAGTAATGAGGCTAGATTGAAATTATTACCATCTTACAAGATCTGTTATAATTGTTTTAAGTCAGGAAATTTTGCAAACCATTGCCAAAAAGCCAGGGTGTAACAAATGTAACCGCCGCCACAACACAATGATTCACGTCACTGAACCGACAACAAGTCATACCGTACAAAATAAAAATAATTTCTCGCTCGAGAATGGGACGGGCACTCGGACAGGGACTCACTCGTCAGTCGTCAATGACATCAACTGCAGGATCTGATGTGAACAACGTCGCTTTATCTGCAAACGTAGCGCATCGTAGTGAACAACGAGATGTATTATTATCAACTGGTTTGATAAAACTACTTGATTGTAATAACGTCGAACACGTCGCCCGCGCAGTATTGACTGCGGTAGTACATCTAGTTTTATAACTGAAATGAGCAAACGATTCAATTTAGAATTTGTCGAAATAGATAAGTCGATTTTAGGCATTAATAGCGTGTATTCTCACGTAAGCAGAAGGTGTCGTGTACATTTAAAGTCGTTAGATAATACTTATTCCGCTAACATTAATTGTTTCATTTTGCAATCAATTACTAGCAATACCCCAGGCCGCGAATCAAGCATACGTGATTTTCAACTTCCATCGAATATTTTCTTAGCTGACCCTGCATTCTATAAGCCTGCCGATGTAGATATTTTAATCGGGGCTGATCTCTTTTGGGATTTGTTAGAGTCACAAAGAATTAAGTTAGTAAGTAATGAGCCCATTCTGCATGAAACCAAGCTAGGGTGGACATTTTCTGGTCCAAATGTTCATCGTTCTACATTGATGTCTAATGACTTACAATGCAACTTCGCTAAGACTGATTTTTATTTTTGTGGCGACAATAAAGATGATATTCGAATCGACTTAACGCGGTTTTGGCAGCTGGAGGAAATAAGTTCCGAGTCATCTCATTATTCACCTGAGGAGAAATTGTGTGAGGATCATTTTGTAAGAAATACGTCACGTCTTGATGATGGGCGTTTTTACGTTCGGTTACCTCTCAAAAACAAACCGGTCTATTAGGAGATTCATTTAAAAGAGCTACACATTGCTTGTTCTCCTTAGAGCGTAGATAAAAATGTAAGTCTGACATCAAGCAGATGTATTATAAATTTATGTCTGAATATCAGTCACTGGGACACATAACAATTTGTGAAAGACCTAATTTAAGTAATGGCGCGTATTTTATACCCCATCATGGCGTACTCCGTGAAAGTAGCACTTCGACTAAACTTAGAGTAGTTTTTAATGCAAGTTGCCCAGCGTCGTCAGGTATTTCGTTTAACGAAATACAAATGTTCGGTCCTGTAGTTCAGGACGACTTGACGTCGATTTTGTTACGTTTTAGGCAACATAAATACGTTTTGTCTGCAGATGTGGAGAAAATGTACAGGTGCATAATCGTTCATCCTGATGACAGGCACCTTCAGCAGATAGTATGGCGTAACAATCCTAGTGAGCCTATACAGACCTTTCAATTAAATACTGTCACGTACGGTACGGTAAGTGCACCATTTCTCGCAACACGCTGCCTGAAACAACTTGGTCTACAGTGCAAAAATAAACATAGCGGACATCATAATGCATTATTTTTATGTCGATGATCTGCTTACGGGTGCTGATGACTTAGATCACTTAAAGGCCATACGTCGGCCATACGAGTTGCCGAAGTATTGGCATCTGCTCTTACGCTATTGCGAAAGTGGAGATCGAACGATCCCGAGTTACTGTCAGAAATTGCCAATACATCACTTGACCTAAATATTGGTTCTCGCGAGCCAGACAAGTTGTTAGGTCTTGGCTGGCATTCGGATTCAGATGAACTCTGCCTTCCATTGAATTCACTAGTTCGCGATGGCAATACTAAGCGTGATTTGCTTTCAGTAATTGCACAAATCTTTGACGCGCTGGGTCTTTTAGCCCCGTATGTAATCACCATGAAAATGTTGATACAAAGGCTTTGGTTAGACAAACTTTCATGGGATGAACCACTGTCTCCCGAAATTAAGAAACGCTGGTATGGCATTATCAAATCTCTTCCTCTCTTAAATAACCTTCGTATTCCACGACTAGTTATCTGTGAGTCATGCCGGGCGCTGCAACTGCATATTGTCACTGACGCTTCTGAGAAGCATGCGCATACGGTGCGTGCATTTATGTTCGAAGCGTCAGCGATAAGACACAAGTTATGGTTCGATTATTAAAGGCTAAGAGCCGTGTAGCCTCAATCAAACCCACAACAATACCACGATTGGAGTTGTGCGGTGCGTTGGTAGGAGCTCGTCTTTATGAGAAGATTGTAAATTCCCTTCGTGTTAAAACTGACCAAGTCTTCTTTTGGACAGACTCCACGATTTTTTTGGGGTGGTTACGAATGTTGCCTTGCAAACTTCAGCTTTTCGTCCGTAATCGTGTCTCTGAAATTTTGGATAAGGCCAGTGACCATAAGTGGGGATATGTCCCAACAGATAGGAACCCAGCAGACTTAATATCTCGTGGTGTTGATATCAGTGCTGTGGCAGGTCTTAGATTTTGGTGGTCAGGTCCAGATTTTTTAATGTATGATATATAAAAACGGCCTTCTCAGCCTAAGAATGTTGAAACATTGCCGGAAACGCATCATGATATTATATTAACTGCAGTCAGTACTCATCCAAAAAAATAATGATTGTTTCATTCATTTCACTTCGGTGGTCTCTGGGAGGCGGGAGTCAAATCGACAAAATATCATTTGCTTAGAGTGTTGGGCAATTGTCACTTAACGTATGAAGAACTTTACACCACGTTGACCCAGATCGAAGCAATATTGAACTTCCGGCCACTCACTCCACTATCTTCAGATCCTGCAGATTGTACGCCCCTTACTCCAGGATATCTTTTCATTGGGCGTGCGCTGACTTCTTTACCGCAACCAGACTACCAGCATCACTCCACTCCGTTATTAACCAGGTTCCAACGCATTGAGCAACTGCGTCAGCATTTTTGGGAAAAATGGAGCAAGGAGTACGTCTCAGAACTTTAACAAAGAGTGAAATGGCGTTCTTGCAAAGATAGCTTAAAGATAAACGATTTGGTGGTAGTCAAGGAAGACAACCTTCCACCGCTGAAATGGAAGCTGAGAAGAGTCGTTGCAATTCACCCAGGAGCCGATGGCATTTTTTGAGTTGCAGACATCAGAACTTTTACTAGGATTATCAAGAGGGCATTTAACCGGATTTACCCATTACCGGTGTCATTTAATTCTGGTTGAAATCAAAGATTTCAACGCCCGGGGGCATGTTGGAGCGCCTGCGCATTCTGTCTGAGCAAAGAGTTAAACAACGTACTTGTAGTAATTACGTCCGTACTTAACGTGAATTTTAAACAGGGTCTTTGTCTTGGCAATATATTTTTACCCTCTCAGCTGTTGTAAGATCAATACAATCGTCCAAAACAACATTCAAGTTGCATATTTTAAAATTCCCCTAAACTCCCGAACAATGAGTGGAAGATATTATAATAACCATTTAATTTATTAAATTGGCAGAGTAGTCTGCTGTCACTTATTTAACAATTATACACAACGAGAATATTATATATATATACCAAATTGCTGTCAATGATGTTACACAATATCATTGATTGCCGATATTTGATCCTACAAGGTTGTATTCCCTCCCTTCACATTTGTATACATGATAATTGATATGGTACGTTATCTGGGGGCACGGCAGTACCCCCGCCAAGTCGAGCAAAAAAGCGGCACGGCCATACCATACTTTTCTCGAAGCAATTCAGGCCATTTTCGGCCTCCTATAACTTCGTAGTGGATAAAACTAGAAGCTTGAATTTTCAGTTAACGAGTAGGCATTGTTTAAGCATGATATATTTCAAATTTAATTTAATTTGAACCAATAATTTAAGAATTATAATTAGTCAAACTTTCTTAATTTTCTCATGTATCATCAAAACTCTAAAGCACTTCTAGCAGACATAGAAGCTTCAAATTTTGAATACAATTAGTGTTTTGTGTATAAATCAAGAAAAAAGTAAAAAATTTTAATTTCGTCCAGTTTTCTAGATACACCAACTGCATAAATAATCTTTGTAATCTCATATAAATATATATAATTACAAAGTTACATTTGCAGTAAATGAATCAGTCTACTTGTATATGTATAATAAGTGTAAATAGGTACGTTGTTGGTATTCCAGTAGTAGAAGGTACAGGAAAGGTCTTAATGACAAAAAGTTATGAGATGCTATCAAAAATATAACTTGTAAAAAAAACTATGTCTCGCAACCAGTCTCTACAAAAGTTGTGAGATCATAAACCAAGTCAAATATTCAGTCCCTACTTAATTCCTTTCAAAATTACAACCTTACAACAAGTGACCATATCAATGTTAAAAATCTTTTATGTTTTAAATATATAGATTGACTTCGCACTAAGCAATCTAAAAAAAAGATGTGAGAACATTGTTTTCATGCGATGGCCAAGTAATGTATATATTTAGAACATAAAAGGTTTTTAACATTGATATGGTCACTATAAAATGTTGTTAGGTTAGATACAACTATACTTCCTATACGACCAATGTTTTCATCCATATCATCTAAATTATTTGACTACAGATTGTGTCACCTAGTGTGACCTTGAACCTTGTTTACTTGACTAGGATTGTCAAGTAAACAAGGTTCAAGGTCAGTACACTACCGGCACTTGACGCGGGCGCAAGTGGCAAAAAAAGGCGGGAAAGTTCTCGGGACGGAATTTCACCCCACGCGATTATCGGCGTTACGAAATCATTTGTTCGATTCTGAAGTGTTTCTTGTAAGTATTAATTTTATTTTTCTTCTATTCAAGGTGTTTTAAGTTTGTATAAGACTATTGTATATTTTGCTATGAACTTTGTATAATTTATTACAGATTTGTCGCCATTATGGACGAACGTCAAGAAAATATGAAACGCGGCCGATTAGAGGAAGATGTGAATGTTGAGAGTGATATCGCACCTAGCAATACGGAAGATAATGTAGAGGAGTATGTTACAGAGATAAACCGTGACTCAAAAACAGAGCAAGAATATGAAAATAGCATAGAAGAGACGGAAGAAAGGAGCACAGAGGAGAGAGTAAATGCAGACATGGAAGAAAATATGGAGAATAGTTTTTCAAGCGATGACAATGTTCCTCTGAGTATGTTCTCAAACTACTACTCATTGGTACAAAACACCACCAACGTCATCAAGAACTAATTCGCACAATATCTTAGGACAACAATGTGGACCTAAAGGTAACGCTAGAAATATTCAGTCTTCACTATCTTGTTTCGAGTTGTTTTTTGACTAGTAGCTTTTGCAGATTATTGTGGAATCCACAAACATCTTCGTAAATATTATTCAGTCAAAATATGTACGTGACAGAGATGCTCGTCAAACAAACATGATGGAAATTTGAGCTTTTATCAGTTTATTGCTGGTGATAGGTGTAAACAGATCGGGAAGGCGGAACCTGAAAGACTGTTGGGTTAACTCTAGAGGCACAGGAATTAGTCTATTTGAATATATTTCAATTTCTTCTTTGCACTATTCGATTTGATGATGTTCCAAGCAGACCTCAAAGGCAAGCACTAGATAAACTTGCACCTATACGTGATATTGTATAAAAGTTCATTTCCAATTGTTAAAACAATTATAATCCCACTGAGCTACTAACGATTGACGAACAGCTGGTTGCGTTTCGAGGACGCTGTAATTTTATCGTATATATGCCCAACAAACCTTCAAAGTTCGGAATCAAAATAATAATGGGGGTAGATGTGAAATTCCCATGCGTATATAATTTAGAAATTTATGTTGGCGCTCAGCCTGAATAGCCTTTCCACAAATCTAACAAAGTCCTGGATGTTTCACTCCGAATGTTGGATCCCGTCTGCAATCTTGAATGTAATATCACAATGGACAACTGGTTTACCAGTGTACCGCTAGCTCAATAGGCATTGAAACGGAAAACTACCATTGTAGGCACCGTCAAGACTAATAAACCAGAAATACCTTCAATTTTCAAAAAATCACGTCAAAAAGAAGAAAAATTACTGTTTTGGATTTCAGAAAGACTGTACTCTAGTGTCATAAATACCAAAAAAAAAAACAAATCCGTGATTTTGTTATCTACAATGCATCATGATAGCACAATTGATTTAACTACAGGAGATAAACAGAAACCAGAAATAGTAACTTTTTATAACAAATATAAATGTGGGTTCGACATTATTGATGAAATGTGCAATCAATATAATGTTTCAAGAAACAGTAGACGATGGCCTCTTACTGTATTTTTTGACTTATTAAATCTTGCAGGTATAAATAGCTTGGTAATTCATCGGATGAATAGGATGGCTAAAAAGCAAACTGAGCAAACACTCATTGCACTGAGAATTCTTCTGCTGGATGTGGCGTTTGAATTTGGTAAAACCCGCAATAAGCTTTAGAATTGGTGTTCCAAATATTCCACGGGAACTAAGCACTAAAGCTCAAATACTTTTAAAACAACAAGGAAGTGACATTGAACCAAACCCAAATCAGTTTGTCCAGAGAACAAGAAAAAGTGGTCGATGTGCCTATTGTCCAAGATCACGTGATTGTTCTTCTTCAAAATTCTAAATTACATGTAATAGATGGATTTGTCCTGACCATCAAATCTTAGTTTGTACATATTGTAATGAAAATACTTAAAAACTGTTAAAACAAAACAAAAAAACCGAAAATATTTTGGAGTACGTAAAATTCATAACTTTTTTCTCTTATTTTTTGTATGTTACATACATACGAAAAAAAAGTAAATTGAGTAAATATTTCAATATTATATTAAATTAATTTTCTCATTTCTTTTATTAAATTAAATATATTTGAACATGGAGTAATCAAACCTGTTTTAAATTAAGGTCGCAATATTACTTTCTTCATAATATCTTTTGTAAGTAGAAGTAATAACTCTTCACAAGATGAAACTCCCCGCGATTGTCACATTCATTCATTACGCACGCAGTTCCCCCTTCATAACCGTTTGCTAAATATGGAGCATGCGGTCGTCTTTTGTATTGTGACAGATATCATTTTTATTATACGCATTTAATTCAAACCCAGTGATACTTTTGTTCAGGTCAAAATAAGTTATTGTGTTTTATGACAAGAAATTCTATGTAAAAAGCCGGACTCTGGACCAATGAGTAGTCATCAAATTAATAAAAATTTAAAGTTGTTTTATGGAATTTAGGAAACTCAACATCACTACAAGAAGTACCTGGATGACCGAACTTTGCTCGGTATTTTTTTGGCAATCGTGTGTTTTGGAAATTACGTTTAGATACAAATTACATACTGATGAAATATGAAGAATATTTTTGATCTTACCGACATAATAGAAAAAACTGAGTTGGTTATTTGAATAAAAAAATCATGAGTGCAATTATTTTAATTTAAATTTTCGTGTTTGTAATAAAACACAAAAAAGGCTCGAAACAATAGATTTTCTGACAAAAGAAGGGAACTTGAAAAAAAAGGAAAAAGTCGGACCGAAGACAGGACTCGAACCAGGGTACTACGATTTCAGGACCACCTGACATTTGCGCTGTTGTAATTTATAACACTATGCCAAAATTTACCTTCTTATATGTAGCAGTTGTTCATTACCTGAAAATACGGACAAAAAGACATTTTCTAAAAATGAATCCTAGCTAGATTGATTTATTGCATAGGGGGTATCCAAAAACAATGCAAAAGGGGACACTAAATTTTATAAAAATCGTTGGAGCCGTTTCCAAGATTCCGATTATATATATATATATATATATATATATATATATATATATATATATATATATATATATATAGACTGACTTGGCAATCGCATTAAGCAATCGAGTTTAATAAAGATGTTAATATTTAATTCACAACCTTCCGCTTAATTAATACATAAGTGTCTACCTGAGAAGAGCACCCCCCCTCATCCACTTCCTAAAACACACTCCCAACACCACTACTCCCGGCACCACTATTCCAAGAAAGACACCATCGACGATAATACAATTGTTTTAGGCCCAGATATGCACATAACTGGGTAACAAAGTATATTTAATGAAATAAAACATTTGTTAGCCAAGGGCCAGAGTGGCCAATTGACCACTTTCCGACGCTTCAGTTTTAGCGTTATCTACCTTGTTATATATTAATTTGATAAAATCCGTAAATTAGTTTAACTCGTATTTCATTTGTTTTTTTCGCGTAAATATGAGAAGTCATCCAAGCAAGTATATTAAGTTAGTAGAGCATTTAAGAACATAAGTTTAAGTAGAGTAGTCACTGATACTGTGCGGGCCACGGTCTTACCTTTCGCCGGCCATGTCTACCATAGAAACGAACTAATTTACGTATGCTTACTTCATGATGTAATTGAGCGAAGTAGAGGAGTATGGGAACATGTGTGAACTTTTTGTGTGTGGGAAAACATTTAAGACGTAATTACTAATGTAATTTTGACCTGAAAATTTTCTAACGCGTCTAGTGATGTAAAATTTTAATATATATATATATAAATTACGTGTCACGTTGTTTGTCCGCGATGGACTCCTAAACTACTTAACAAAATTTTTAATAAAATTAGGTAGCCACAATTTTTTTTTTTGCAAATTTAGGGATTTTTAATAGGACATGACAAATTGTCGTCGAAAAGGGCAGAACAACGTCTGCCTGGTAAGCTAGTATCTTATAAATTTGCCTTTATTTTGCTTATTTCGTATCGCATAATAGAATTTTCCAATAAAGCCAGGAAAAAAAAGTAATATTACTATGTTTATCATTCTAAATAGACTTTTGGAGACGGAACGCGTTTTACAATGACTTAAAAGCCCAGAAGCCATGCCAATATATATTTAAAAAAAACTTGTTCTACACATTTCGTTTCACAGACTATGAAATTCTTATTAATATGACATAGTTAAATAAGCAATTGTTTTACGTTACTTATCTTATTATTTTATGATTAGATATGATTATTGTGGTTTTATACTATGGTGTGGAAAGTTATTTTTCTTTCCACACCATAGTACACCATAGTGTAAAGTTGACAGGCTATAACCTGAAAAATTTATTTACTTTGTAGCATTTTTCCCTGGCCTCTAAATAAAAAGGTGATACGTTATTATGTTATTATAAACTATAATTGATTTTATGCAACAGTAGTTATAGGTAGACGCGACCTGCAAAACGAATCAAGTGACAGGTCAATCAATGTATGGAAAGTGGGCATGGTGTTTCTTTTATTATAACATTTTGGTGGTAATTTTTACTGGTGGTAGCACTTAATTCGGCCTAGGAGTCCGTCTGGGTTGGCTTCTGCCGCCAGTAGCAGGGTTTGCACTGCTGTGTCTACTACCTGTCTAAAGGGAACAGAGGGTATGTAATTATACAGGCTGTGAGGCATTTCTTCTTACTACTTTCAAGAGGTGACAACCCATGTGGATGCCGTTCGGGCCGTTCCGACCCACTGAAAACCAGCGCTGTTGTTTCGGCGACAGCATAAGCTGAGTAAGGTTCGTTTGCCTAACGCGCCACAACATTCAACATCAGGAACGACGTATAAGTATACGTATAAGTATACATGTATTTAAATTGCTATTATCTGGATGACCGAGCTTTACTCGATTTTTTTTGAAATTACATTTAGATACAAATTACATACTGATGAAACATAAATAATATTTTTTGTTCTTATTGACATAATAGGAAAAACTGAACTGGTTATTTGAATAAAAAATCATGAGTGCAATTAGTTTAATTAAAATTTTCGTATTTTTAAAAAATGCTAAAAAAGGGGCTCGAAAATAATAGATTTTCTCACAAAAGAAGGGAACTCGAAAAAAAGGAAAAAAGTCGGACCGAAGACAGGACGTGAACCAAGACATTACGATTTCGCGACCGCTCGATATCCACTTCTTATACTGTAGCAGTTTTTCATTGTCTGAAAACATGGACAAAAAGACATTTTCTAAAAATAAATCCTAGCTAGGTCGATTTATTACCCCCGAAACTCCCTGGACACTAAATTTTATGAAAATCGTTGGAGCCGTTTCCGAGTTTCCGATTATATATATATGTGTATGTGTGTATGATGATGAAGTGACGACCTGGTCAGAGATGCAGAAAATTGATGGATGCAGATGGCATAGGGTCGTAATTGGTGGCATTCTTTCTGAGAG